CTGCAAGCTCTTATATACACATATCTTCTTACGTATGCATTCTTGGAGAAGGGCAGAGAAGTTTTAAAAAGCCAGTAATGGTACCTTATTTATACAATGAATAAATAGCAGGACAAAGCCTGCTGTTATAAATTTCACAAGTAGTGACTTAGTGTCAACCACGTTTAGATGTTGATGCCCCAGAAGAGCTTTAGTTGTGATACTATCTGTTAACCTTCTGTTGAGAGAGTGGAGTAAAGGAAGCACTCACTGTTTTGGGATTACTGATAACAAACTACACAGCCACTGTGTTCTCACACAAGTCTATGTGTGGATCGAATTGATACACTTCCATGGAGGCCAGCAGGAAACTTATTCACAAGATGATTATGAGATGTGAGACAGGTAGTCTTCAAAACCGACCTGCCATTTTCTAAAAGACAGGCTATCAAAAGTCCTGTCCCTTTGTGCCCTTTAATTTTACCATGTTCTGCAGAAAATTTCATCAAGGATGAAGGGACAAAGGAAACACAAGTTTTTAATGAGATTAGTTATGTCCTTTCAAAGACTTAAAACAAAACCAAATGGGCTGGTGGTTGAATGCCTGTTTATCGTGTAAGGTCCTGGGTTCAAGCTCAACACTACATAAAAAAGTGGGTAACATTTTAGGGCTGGGCTGTAGTTCTGTGGTAGAAGTGCTGGTCTAGAACGCAGAAGGCCCTCAGGTTAGTCCCTCACAGCACAAAAACAACCAGTCACCACAAACTCACACATTCACACACACCCACAAACCAGTGTTGAATATAATATTGATGGGGAAAAGTTTTAGATAACTTAGTAGATTGAATATTAAGGTAGTTGTAGAAGCAAAATAAGTAAGGTATTCCTTTAAGATTTGCTTTTCCCGTAACTCTTGTTGTTTAAGGTGATGGTTATCTGCGTCTTTAACCAGTAATTTCATTTTAGGTAACATTTTAACCTAACAAAGTTGCAAATGCCTGGGTGAATTTACAATGTATATGTGCTTATCTTGTGTCTGTGACTTGTATTTACACATCAAAGACCACTAGGGATGAGATAATGACTAACAAAGGTATACAAAGAAGAGACTAACAGAGAACAGCACTGACAATGACCAGACCAGTTTCTGCCAGTCTTGCCTGCTTGCAAGTAAACTTTTATTATTTTACCTGAATTCTGTGTTGCCATGTATTTCTTTCTGCAATTTCCAGAACAATATGGGAAACACTCGCTTTCATATACTCTTAGTGGAAGGTGACATAATACAAGTACCACATGTCTTTAGGATAGCTAGACAATATACAAATGTATGGAATTTGGCCTGGTAATTTAAATTTGAGTGGTAATTCTACACAGAGAATGAATCTTAATAAGATGTATAAACATGTATAAGTGTTAATTATGATATGCTTATAATAGTAAGATATTGAAGACATACACTTTCACAGCTTATGTAAATTTATGGTATGATATGCTTATAATAGATACTAGAACACACATTTTACAGATTATATATACTGTGGTAAACCCATGTAAAGAACTACCATATATATAGTTACTTTTTCAAATGAGGCATACCTGTAGGAAAGATACCTATGATGTATATATGAAGAAAATCTATTCAAAGGATGCAAAGTATGACCCTACTTAAATGTATAAAGTATATGCAAATATTTGGAAAATCTAAAAGGAGGAAGATAGTGGAGAAAATGTTTATATGTGAAATTATTAATAGTGTCTGTGAGTGGATGGGTGTATATAAAATTTTTTGGAATTATCTTTGCTTTCTGTTTTTCTGTAACATATATTGCTCTTATAATGAGTTATTTTAAAGTAAGCAGATAAATGATTAAGGCCCTTTTCTTTATTTAGGGAATTACTCCTCAGCCAAAAATAAGAGACAAAAATAAAATGATTTTTCCTTTATACATGGTGATTACAAATCACAAGTCAGGGGTTACAATTTATATCTAATGTCCCCTCAAAGCCTCATATGCTCACAGGTGGGTTTTGGGGGACGTGACTAGATCATAGGGGCTTGATACTCATCAGTGGATTAGTTCACTAATGAGTTTATACCTAAATGTGATTTGGGAGGTTGGAGGAGATGAGTCAACGGGGGCATGGCTTGGAAGGATGTACCTTCTCCCCTCACCCATCTCCCTCTCTCTGCTTCCTGCTGCCATGCCCCTCGGGCATGCTACCCTGCCTGGAGCCACCGACCATGGCCTGAAGCCTCTACAAATTGTGAGCCAAAATAAACCTTTCCTCCTTTAATTTGTAGATGTTGGGTATTGTGTCTCAGAAAGGAGACAGTAACTAAGACATCAAGTTTCATTATCAAGTGTTTTTTTAAAAATTCAATTAAAGATTCTTTTACTAAACTTAGCTTTTTTCAGCATTCACCCCCCCCCTTTAAATAGGGTCTCACTATGTAATCCACAGTGGCATGGAACTGGCTATGTACCTCAAACTGACCTTGAACTCATGATTTTCCTGCTTCAGTCTCCTGAGGTCTGGGATTACAGGCATGTGCTATCTTTAGTCCCTAATATATTACCTTCTTGTTATGGATTGATCCATTGATGAGTTCATAGGTAAATGCAATGTGAGGAAGTTGGGCCTAGTTGGGAGTTGTATCTCTGGGGGTATGCCTTTGGAGAGTATATCTGCTTCCCTGGCCCTCTCCACCAACCCCCGCCTCCTGCTTAGCTGCCCTTGGTAGAAGAGCTTTCCTCTGCCATGTCCTTCCACCATGCTGTTTTTGCCTTGGAGCTAGCCAACTGTGGACTAAATCATGAGCCAAAGCAAGCTTCTTAAGTTGATGGTGTTGGGTATTGTGTCCTAGTGACGGCAAAGTGACTAATACATTTTTCCTTTATAAACTCTGTAGAGAAATCATAAATATGTGTCTCCTCAAAGCTCCAAGGAGAACTCGTTTTTCCATGGCTTACTTTATGCTGTGTAAGTACAGTTCGTGATTGGCCAACTGGCTGTATGCAGGCATTGACGTGGGAGGTGCAGTCCCACTCATTAGGGTTGGGGAGCTAATTGTCAGTGCCAATGGTGGTCTCTAGTAGGCAAATGAAGCTGCAGGACCATCCTGGGAGGTGTTTGTGGGGAGAGGCCTACAATGCCTTAATCCTGCAACTCAGTTCCAGTGAGGATTGTGCAATAGAAAGAACAGAAAATAAAATAATCAGAATTAACTTTCAACTTTACTAAATAGAGGCATTCACCTAATGAGAAAAGGTGAGCTCTTCTAATGTTGGGAAATCTCTATGAAACGAATCCAGCTGTTATAGGTGGTAGGAACAACAGCCATATCACCATGATGGTGATAATAGCTGATATTTATTTAGTGATGACCAGGGTGTCCAGCACGGACTCTGACAGATTTTAGTCCTTACAGAAAGGCTATGATATAGATAATACTGTTAGCATCCCTGTCTTATTAGTAGAAGCAATGACTAAACAGGAAGCATGGTTTTGTGGACTACCTGGAATATGCCACAACCTTTCAAATTCACTATCGCTTTGGGATTGGGGATATCTCATTCCCTAGCTAATCCTTTAAAATTCTGGCCTAGTCATTTGTCCCAAATGTTATCCACCACCATATGCAGCCAGGAAATTAAATCAACTGATCTCAAATGTTTTTGCCAAAACTCTCTAGCGAGGATTACTGCACTGGGTGGTCTCTAAGTCAGGTCAAATACAGCCATGCAAGTGAAGTCTTCCAGGTAACCAGCACATGGGTCAAATAATGACAGTTTGGGGCTGGGGATTTAGCTCAGTGGTTCCACTGCCTGGCCTGCAACCACAAGGTCCTGAGTTCAATCCCAGTACCAAAGAAAGGACAGTTCCCTGACAGTGAGACTTGAGCTCTACCTTTTTTATGTCCCTCTGGGGGCTGCCTCAAAATGTGGGTTATTTTCAAGGCTACCATGAAGCTAGAGGGTGAGTTATTAGACAGTGTCACAAACTTTATTGTTTATACTGAGCTTTGGTTGGTTCTCTTGAATAAATGCTTTACGGGATGCTGCAAGACTTTTGTTGTTTTTCAGAGTTCTAAAAAAGCTGACTCTGAAAAAGTTTTGCTAGATTTTTCATTGTTTTGTGGAGGAAATTTTCACAGATTCTTGTGTCACCATTTCCTTGAAATCTTTTCTACTGTTCATGACCTCATTCATGTTTTTGCCAGAGCAGCATGGAATTACCTGTGGTAGTTAAAATAAGTCCCTCATTTAATTGAGTTGGCTTTGTTTGGTCAAACTACCTGGAAATCATAGAGACCTGGCTAAAACGCATATCCTAATCCAGTGACTTTTTTGAGTTTTCTCGTCTTAATATACGATATGATGCCCATGAACCTATATTTGAATACTCTTAAATGGCTACATATTATTTCACTTTGTAAGATATAAAGTCTAACTAGTCTTGTTTCACTGACCTTTTAGATATACGAGTGTTTTTACATATCTGCCTCCCCACATTATTGTCCTTTTTTTTTTTCCTACTGGGGATCAAACTCAGGACCTTGCGCTCCCAAGGCAGGGGGCGGCACCACTGAGCTAAATCTCTGGCCATTTTTGTCTTTATAAACGGACTGAAATCCCATATTTGGTTTTGTTGTTTTGTTTTGTTTTCTTTTTGTTTTTTGAGACAAGGTCTCGCTACGTAGCTCAGGCCAGCCTTGAACTCACTACGTAGTTCAGGTGGGCCTCCAATTTGTGGCACTCCTCCTGCCTCAGCCTCCCAAGTGCTGAAACTACAGGCTTGTGCCACCATACCCAGCTCACATCTGCTTTCAATTAGTAGTCATACCATAAGTTTCTCTGAAGGAAAGAAAATCTAAAAAGGTAATGATTTAAAGTAATATTCAGGTGTTTCTATTTCCATTGGTGCTGAAATATATCTGAGCATGGACTAGAATTCAGAACTCCGTGAAAGGGAGCTGCTACAGAGAGAGGTGATGTCACAAAGCCTGGGTACTGACTCAGGTAGGCACTGGCGTTAACAGTGGCTTTCTAGTCTACCTACTCTGGTGGAAGACTGAGCTTCTGAAAGTGAGTGATTTCTTCAACTTGAATCTTACTAATTGGAATTCTCCTTTTCAAATTAAAGGTATGAGAAACTTCTGGTGAGATGCTCTGTTTTCCTAAAGTGTATTTTAATTGTATTTGTTTTTAAAACTTGGCCTTCATCCAGCCATGAACGGTTACAAGGTAGTAAGTCTGCTTGGCAGTCAGACTGTGTTTCCTACTCCCCTTATTCACATTTTCCCAGTTTAAGAGAGTTAGACTAAGCAAAGTGATAACTAAAAATTAAACTTCCCGGGAGGGTTTAAGATTTAGGATTTAGAAGCATAACAACAGTTTTTAGTAGAAAAATTCAAAGTTTTTCCCTCCTAAAAAATGTAAAATTTACAAAATGGATTTGGAGATTGTCAGAACAATAACATTTTGGAGCCATCAACCCCATGGAAGACCCTGAGCCTGATGTACAGCGAGTGGTTACTTCGGACTGTGAACATAGTTTGGGAGGTCCAGGTGTCTGTGAGTAAAACCACTAGCTCCTGTGTAAGCCTTTTTTTTTTTTTTGGTACTGGGGATTGAACTCAGGATCTTACACTGTAAGCCTTTTAATTATATAAAGTCATATCACTGCCTGTGAAAGGTAAAGATTCTTTCCACTGCCTGTCATTCTGTTCTTCTTCTCTATGAATTTTGCATCTTAGTTTCTTTCATGTGGAAATAAACCATCTTATCCACACAGGGGGTCCAAGTTCTCCCTGAGAAGATTCTCTGTTGGCTTACACATATATAGATCTGTGTTTGGGCTCTATTCCTTTTCTAGGCTACTCATTCCTGTGAGAGGAGGGAGGTAACCTTCACTGATTGTCTGTCCTTCTTTGCCTAGGTATGTCTGCGACTTTTGACCTCCGGAAAATACTACTTATCGTTAGTGGTGGGACCATGGTGGCCATACTCGTGCTAACAGTTGTTGTCATCTATCTTTACATCAAACTGTCCAAGGCAATGAAGTGAGTCCTGGGGATAAGAGTGAACAACACCCCCCTGAAATGGGACACCTGGGGCTGTCTGCCTAGTAGGGTCTACGCCTCACTACTGGTGTCACGCCCTAGGTGAGGTCAAGAACCACAGGCAGATTTGTACAGGCAAAGCTGGGTGGCTACAGGATCTTGGGTTTGTTCTTGGGGTTGTAAGCTAGTAAGTAGAGAATGTTCTTAACAGAGAGGGAGTGTGTGACAGCAAGTGGTGCCTTTTGGGGGAGAGGATCCAAAAGATGGGACAGACTGGTTGTCAGCAGCGCAGCAGTGGTGTCCCCATTCTAGGCAGCTAGATGGTGGGCCCTGGAGCTCAGGACATAGCTTCAGCCCCTTCCTCCTTCCTCCTGCTTCTTCAAGGCCTGCAGCAACTAGCTGGGTGTTGCCCACTTGCTCGTCACTCTCCCTTACTTTTGTAGCCTGAGTTTACACGTACAGCAGCTGTAGGAGAGGAAGGGACGAGAGAGGCACTCGGCACAGGGGCAGGGAACTATAATCCAGGGCTGGTGTCATATGTGTGGTTGGCTGCAGCCCTGAACTTCCCAGAGAGCCCCGAGAATTCTAAGAAATGCACTGAAAAGAGAACGTCTAAGCCTGTGCTTTGTATATGTCCTTTTTTAAGGGCTTCAAAGGAATGTGATCCTGAGGCTAACTCAGCCACCAACACCAAGGACAAGGTCATCTTGGCTGAAACCGCTGCCGTGGACTCTTGTCCCACCTCTGAACTTTGTGATGAATGCAAAATGTATGCAGATTATGATGCCCTGCCACCTTGCTTTTGTGACAAAAATGAAGTACCCTGATGTGGCCATGGGGGACACAGAAATAAATCTTCATGAGGACTATTTCTCTTAAAATTCTGTTATTCAAATTGAGTTCCATAACGTTACTCTATACTATATTCAGCAAAATGTTACTTTATATACTTGTGAATAAATATGTAACATCAAAAATGATCCTCTCTTTAGTATTTTTTCTTAGTTATACATATCATATATATGTAGGATATGGCTACTTTGAGGCTTGGGGAAATAGCTTGGAATATTTTATGGCAATAGAAGCTAAAGAAATAAGGTAGAAAATAAGAGTGGCCAGCACTTTTCCAACCCCAGAAAGAAACCATACATTGACCTCAGGGCGTTTTCAAGTTCAGCATCTGCTAAAGGTGCCACACTGGAGGAGTGTGCTCAGCAATCCTAAAGGGTTCCTACCTCACCCATTTCCTGTATTAGAGTCAGTGATGTCATATATCCTGACTAGGACACTATTCATCAGGACAGTGAGGACAGCTAGGTGGGACATCTCTGGGTATAAGTTGTCTGACCCGTGTAATTATGGGATGGAGCTTAGAGGCCTCAGAAGGACAAGTAGAAAACCTGAGAGTCGCCTAGCTGGCTTCGCCCATGTTCAGAGGCAAGTGCCCTCATCCTGAGATCACTTGCACAATGAAGTGCTGATTCAGCCCTCAGTGTTCTCAACTGTAGCAGGAAACTCTAGCCCAAGGCCAAAGCCTAGACTCCCTTACCAAAGCACAGGAATGTGCTTCCATCACTTCTCCTTCTGCTGAGCCCCTAGAACAGCAGTGGCAAACCTATGGCACATGTAGTAATGTGTTTTCTTTTTAAAATAAAAGATGTTAATGTAGAGCTATTTTTTCTCAATGAAAACTTCAGTATTCAGGTTTAATTGCAGCACTGGCATTATGCAATTAATAAGTGGGTTTTGGGTTGCAGTTTGGCATTCAATCTCTAAAAGGTTCACCCTCGCTGCCCTAGGGCCTCTTAAGAGCACATGTTCCACCTGTAATCACAGTATACTTCCTCTGTAACAAAACCCTCACTGATGAGGATCACAGATATGCTTCATCTAAAGAACCATTAGCTTGTTACAGGAGATCACCTACTAAACAGGGATAACAAAGGAACAGAAGAATAGGAAATGAAACAAGCCACCACTGCATCTAGGCCACAGGGTGCCAACTCTGTGGCACTGAGCTCGAGAAGAGGGCTTTGGGGTGGCTGAGTTCAGTTTAGTCCAGTGGGTCAGGATGTCAGGGTTCGATAAAAGTGGGTGGGGCCTCACTGCCCTGCAGGATCCATCCTTGGATAGCTGAGCAGCTCCCTGGAGGCTGACACCCCCAGCCCCAGCAGGCTTTGGAAGCTAAATCAGGACTCTTCCCTAGAGGCTACTCTGAAACTCTAGCTGAAAATGGCATGTCCCTTTTCAGTTTCCAGCTGACTGTCCCCATTCCTCACCTGGCTTTGTTTTTCTCTTGTCACCACAAACTCTAAGCAGAGGGAGCATGAGGTCCCTCCTGACCTCATACAGTGGGCACTTGAATGTTAGCTCAGTCCCAGGAAGCCAGTAGCGGTGTGGTCCTGCATAGGCCTGGTCCAGGAATTGCAGGGAAAATGAGGCAGGTGGAACGAGAGGTCTCTGGGACACCCTTTGGTGGGCAGGAAGCCAGAGCCCCCGCAGCAGCTTTCGAGCCCCATGCATGCAGTTCACCTGCCAACGCTGCCTTCACTCAAGGGAGTTCCTTGACCTCGCACAGCCTCCTTCATTTTTAGGTATGTGAGGGCTTGCACAAGTAACTGAGAGGATCAACTAGAGGAGGTCTGGCTACCTGATAGGACTCGATAATTTGTGACCACTGGCCTAAAACTGACTTTTTTCCTTTCTAGATCCCATGCTTGCTTCCTTTTTTGCCAGGCAGCCTCCAGGAGTGACCACAAGATTCTCATATGTTGTCATTAACTGTGATATGTCAACTTGAGTAAGAACTGCGTAGCAGATTTGTAAAGGTTTGTGTGTGTTTGTGGATGACTGACATGTAGACCATCAAACTAAGGCGGAGAGACTCATCCTGGAAAGAAGAGAAAGTCTGCCCTTTTTTCTTCAGAGGAGTTCCGGTCACCATTGCCTTTGAACGTTGATCTCTAGTTCCCTCAGGCTTCCAGAGCAGACTCTCCAGCCTTCCTACACAGACCCTCAGATTTCTGACTTAGAATCTTCCTGGACTCAGTAATGACCTTCAGGCCTTTGACCTTCAACTGAGTCCCTGGCCTTTCAGCAGGCACATGGCCATTTTGTCATTCTTACACTTCTGATTTGCCAGATGGCCACTGGGAATCTTTGACTTCTTTTTTTCTTTTTGAGTGTTAATTAACTTTATTCACTTTTTTCCAAACATATACAATATTAAATATAAGCTAAAAACAATACATAGTTCTTAGAAAATACTACCCAATGCCCCCATTGTCTGAGGTTTGTGATTATAATGTGCTCAGCCTTTGTTCTTCCAGAATGTTAGTGAATGTGTTGCTCAAAACAAGCACAGAGTAAGAGGAAACCTCCCCTAAATAAATTTTGTTATTATAAAACAAATCCAAAGAGAGGCCTCTAATGTCTTCATTCGGGTATCTGGAATTTCAAAATGGAAATAATTACTGAAGGAGCAAGCAGTTCTGTCCTATCTAACACTAGCAAGGAAAGGCAAATTTGGGCTGAAACTCTAAACACAGCCCCATGTAAGGGCTTGTTATCAAGCACACTTGCCCTGAATAATTCCCATTCATTTTGTTGTACAAAGACCCACTTCAAGAGCAAGTATTTTTAAACAACCAAGTCACAATTTCAGGATCACCTTTTTTTAATAGGAACTGATCATAGAGCTCACAGGAAGGACCTTCTATGGGTCAGGCATTGGCAGAATGAAACAGCACCAGCTTCACCCAGTTAAATGTACAACACATGAACTACTCATCCCCAAAGCAGTCAACTCACCCAGAAGTTTGGCTTCACTTCCAAAATGTGCTTTGCTTCTCACCCTCTTTGCCAGTAACACTTTAGGATACTGTAAGCACCAAGAACTCTAACATTCCATTTACAAAGTTTATGCCCACTACAGCAGTCAGTTTAAAGGGATAGGGAAAGATGCTACAGGTTTTTTCTTGGGAAAATTATACAGGATTCTTTATTTGAAGTTAAGGCTACCAATATCCCAACAACCACTTTGCTTGCTCTCTTCTTGCAACTTTAGTTCAGGTCCCACAACCTAAGCATACAGTCCTTTTGAGTTGCCAGCAACTGACGATGAAACACAAAGATACTAAATATGAAATGAACATGTGCACTGTGTGCAAGTCAGATAACCTACAACCAATTATACCTTCAGCTCACTTTAAAAAAGAATAAAAGCTGGACATGGTGGTACAGGCCTGTAATCCCAGCTACTATAGCGCCTCAGGCAGGAGGCTCCTGAGTTCAATGCTAGCTCCAACTTAGTAAGACCCTATCTCAAATAAAAAATATGAAAGGCTGACGATATATCTTAGTTGTAGACTGCTTGACTAGCATATCCAAGGCCCTTGGTTCAATCCCAGGCACCATCACAAAAAAAAAAAAAAAAGAAGGCATGAAAGTACTCAGGAATTTTATGGGGTAAGTGAGCAAACCACCAGGAGACCAGGAGTGACATTTTCAGACACCTTCTGAACAAGAATAGTTAGAAGAATAGATTCATATTTTCTTCTTAATCCCTCAGGTCCTATAGAGTGCTAGACATTATTACTTTAATATTCTATTACTAATTTTCAGGTAAAAGTAACATCAAAACACCAAAAATATGTTTAGGACAAACTGTTGTAATTAAAAACTTAAAATTTTAAAAAGATTTATGTAACATTTTTAAAATTTCACTTGATTCTCAAACATTTTTTGAGATTTTCCAACATGAAAGGTAATTTTGAACCATCTCACTGTGTTGCATTTTGTCCCAGGAATTAGAAACATGATTAAAACCACAGCAGTTCTTAGAATAAAAAGGTATGACCATAAAATTCTTAGAACTTTAAAAATTTCATAAATAATTTCAAGTATCAAAAGATAATTGCCCATCTTTTTTAAAAAGGGGAAAAGAAATCTTAACCATAGGAGGGGGATTCATAACTAATGCATACTTATTTGTTTTGGGGTGCATTAAAAATTTTTCAAAAATTGCGTTCATTTTTCCTCTACTTAAAAAAAAGGGAGGGTGGTGCACAATATTCTCTTCTAGATCCATCTCCTCTGTTTGGAGTTTTCAGTGTTAAGCACAAACGCAAGTCTGTTTTCTAAGCTAGTAAGAAAGTCCAACTGTTCACAATCTGGTAGGCATGGGTGGCCCACCTGTGAGGGCTTCGGCACTCCCAACCCCTCAGACACTGTCACATGTGACTCATCCACAATGGATGGTAAGATGACCTGCGAGACATGGCTTTACAGGAAGTTTTCACAAAACAGCCTCACCGTCGTCACAGGTGCCACACTCACATGATCTTCGCGTACCTGCGGTGTGCAGACTTACGAGGGTTAGCACCACAATCCACCACAATTATGAGCAAGGTCGTACTGGACAGCATGTAGAATTTTCTCATTAAATCTACATCTCAATGACTAGAACTCTCTACACGAAGGGACTATGCAAAAATTCACAAATATTTTAAAGGGTTTTTTTCTTAAACCCTCACAATCCTTCAGTATTAAGTATTAATTAAAGAAGAAATCAGACAGTTCCTTCAATTAAATGACAATGACAATACAACAAATCAGAATCTATGGGACACAATGAAAGCAGTCTTACGAGGGAAATTCATAGCAGTGACTACGCATATTAGGAAAACTGAACAAGCCCAATTAAACAACCTGATGCTGCACCTCAAGCTTCTACAAAAAGAAGAGCAGGACAA